AGTATCATATCATCCTCACTTGATGCTGATTCCATCGTTCTTTTTCCAAGGCATGTTTTTTTGAAGCTTATTATTTATTTACTAGATGGCATGATGCTTAATGTGAATAATCAGGTGTGCCAAAATTTGCCTCAGAACAATTAGCTTTTTTCTATAGTTTATTCCCATTGATGTGCAAAGACAGAAGGGAATGGTTGTTTGATTGTTGAGCTCAGTCAATTTATCTTTGATGCATCTCACTGCGAAATATCCTGTGTATTATTTACCTCACTGCGTAGCACACTATACCATCCATCAAACATATATACTACACAGTACTTTCTGCATGAATGAACCATATATAGTATGACTTCAATGACGTCATCATAACTGTTTCAGTCAAACCCAGTCTCAAACATGGGTACGCAGAGTACCTATGTAAGTTTCAGAGAGAATATGGAAACATGTTTCACACTGCAGCTGTAATGGAACAATAAATATCACATGGTTAGGGCAGAGCCCAGCGTCCACTTTTTACAGTAATTCAGTATATCACATTACTTTTCTTATTAGCAAAGCAGAGGAATTACGACCGCACTGGTGATCTACCTTCTCTTATCATGACCCCTCATTGGTACTAAAAAAAGAAAAACACAGCCACATGCTGCACAGCCTTTTTAATAATCTGCTTCGTTTCCTCATTTAGATTTGATTGGCTATGAAATGCACCGGCCTGCCGGGACTCAGGTTTCAGCATTCATCAGCATTTCCTGGTTGTAAATTGATGGCACTAATAGAGACATCGCGTGCTTGCATGGGAAGGCGAGAGGACACACACACGCATGGTTTTTAAATGTAGTATTAATTATGGAGTTATAACTAGAAAGGTTGTTCTTCTATGTTTAATGCCATGTGCATCAAACAAGAACCAACACATGTAAATGATGTTGTTTTGGTTTAAACCACAGGGGTCTCGTTCATAGACACTTTGACAAGTCACAATAGAAACAGAGCAAAGTTATAAATTATGAAGTTAAGGAGTGGCTGTTGTTAATTTTATCAAGAACATCCAGGATGTCTCCTGCTGTGCCAAGTCAAGATGTCTGCTGTGGCACTGTGTCTACAACAGACTCAGTTTTTCACTCAGCGGTGTTGAGTGTGTGCAACCTGTCCATGTTTCTAAAGGCCAGTCTGAGTCTAACTGGAGGGGACAGTGAAATCTCATATGATGGCAGATTCGTGTGCCAAAGTTCAGTGAATGCCAGCTTATTGCTATAGAAAAGGTCACTGGGCTCTAAGCAGAATGAAAAGTCTTTACTGGAGAGGGTGTGTGTGTGTGTGTGTGTGTGTGAAGCTGTCTTCCTCTATATGTGACCCTGGAACGAAGGCCGCAACCTGAGCTAACCATGCTCATATAAGCACCACGCCCTGGAGCTGCTGCATCTCCCTCTGTCTCCGTCTCCTCTCGTCAGGCGTTGGTGTCCGTTACCTTCAGCACTCCAGGAAGCAGACACCGACTTTAAGATGCACCCGCCTCTGCGGGCGTAAAATCAATTACCAGAGAGATGAAATTCTCCGATAACGCGGCCTAATGATAATTGCCCTGAATTTGCAATGATCTGACTTACGATACAAACCACTATTGGCATTGTAGCAGCATACTGGCAGCCGGAGTAGCTGGAATATCAATGGTAATTATTCCATGTTGATTTAGAGCCATGTTACTGCCAGGGGTAAACATAAACCAATTAGCCTCTATGGTAAGCGGCAGGGGTCATATTTCACTGATGGTTGTATGATTTGTGATGAGTTGAGTACAATAGAGAGAGGAAATGGTTATGTGGGATCTAACCGCTGCCTCTTTAATTGAAGCACTCCTATCACATTGACTGCCGGAGACATGTGGGTGGCGGTGCGTGACAAACTGCCACTAATTCAATAAGCGATCATCAGACTGTTAAAATGCTGGCAATAATATTAATAATACACTTGTTTTAGCCGTGCGTCCAGAAATAGAGCTGCTCCAGTGAAGAATCAGACACGGCTGATCACCGCTCCCCCACAATTCAGCCAGTTTACCCACAACACGGTCGCTGCAAAGCAAAAAAAGCAGAAACGTTTCGGGTTTAAATGTGGATCAATCAGAGGTCACGGGGGACGATCGTCCCTCAACTCCAACCCCAACTCAATGTGCCTCAAACCAACAGTTCCCGATCATGGGAGTAAGTGTTTTTTTCCCTCAAAAGTGCCTGAGAGACGTCGGGCTGGATAATGTGTCCTATGAATAAAACACATTAGCTACAAAACATGCTGAATAATTCACATTTCGGAGCCTCCATCCCGCCCCATGCAGGAGATATTAGTTCCTCAGTCACAGTTTGCTTTGCACTGAGTCCTCTGAGTCTGTCTCCCCCCACGCTCGCTCCCTCTCACTTCTCTCTTGATCATTTAGTCGCTGTCTTTGTCATCTGTGTTTTGTTAATCCCTCTCTGCTCTCAGCTGACTTTCTGCTGATGCAACTGTCTATTTATACTCCTCAAGTTACTACTTTTTTTTCCTGGAACGTCTCATAGTTTATCTGAAGCGCTCTCGAAGCTGTCGGAGCGAGGGGTGCGTTTGTTCTGAGAGAATCTTTGATGACTCGCTAACACACGAAGGCCCAAAATGGACTCGTCATTTAGTGTTAATCGGAGGCGACCAGCTGCGAGTTTCAAAGTGAGAGGGACCCGGAGTAAGGAGCGTGGCGGTTTGATAATTAAATACTTGACCTGATATGCGTCTCGTGCTCATGTTCTTTTCAGCTCCACCAGATATTTGTGATTTTCATGATTGCGATGTAATTTGCAGAATCAACAGCATTAGCGCAAACTTCAAAGAGCAATCCACTCAACCAATCACTGCTTTTTATTGCGCTGTTTAAATTTGAAATCCCTCTCATTCAACAAAACAGCACTTTGGATGCATTAAGATTTTACCAGCGCGCAACCATGTGGAGCCTTTTTATCAACTCAAGTCAATCATGGCAAATTTGCTCTGCGATTCAACAAGGCTTGCACTCAATTAAACAGAAGAAGAGCTAATCAGTTCATTATTTGAAAAAGACTCATTAGATTTTAAATGTTCTGGTCATAATACAGCGTTAAGCACGACACATTTTTAAGTAAGCTGATTGGTTAAATTGTATCATTTGAAAAAAGGAAATTAAGACTCTTTAACTCTGATTCATTCCATTAATGTCAATGAAAAAAAATCCCATCTCTGTTGCACAGTATTGCATTATGTTTAGTTTGTTCAGAAACAAGAGAAGAAGAGTCTGCAGCCATGTTGGCAGTATGAGGCTCTGTTAAGGAAGTAGTGCTTTGACCTAAATGCTAATGTCAACTTGCCAACATGCTCACAGTGACTCATGTGACATTGTTAGTATTCTGACTTATGCTCACCACTTTGTACCACATACAAGTCACAGCTGAGGCTGATGTTACTGTTTTAGTCAGTTTTGGACAAATCAAAAGATTTATTGCAAATAAATCCAACAGGTGACCACAAATGTTGAAGTAATGATGGTGCTATAGAGGAAAAGTCGTACAAGCTCTAATGTTGATAGGATTCATCCTCTGAGGATCATGAAAGTCTGAAAAAGTTTTCTTGGCAATTCATCTGATCATTGCTGAAGTTTTTCCCTTTGGACCAAAGTCAAAGAGATCCATATAGAGCCCTTACATACTAAATAAAGATGGACGACACGTTCAGTTTCTCCAACTATCCAGAAATAAAGCCAGAATATCCCAGACACCAACGCTGTCATCCTGCACATTTACAACCAGAGTCTGCTCCAGAAATAACTGCTAGTGGTTAACAGAAGCACAGAGAATGTAGCTGAGTACTGTACAACATATTTAATCTCAAATCCAAAAAAGCTTAAATAAGGAGGAAATGACTGCGAAGCAAAGAACCCTGGATTCCACCAATAACTTCTTAGAGTAAAAAACTATCAATGATGAGCGCTGCAACTGAATATTATGACATATTATATCTGGCTAATGTATTTGAGTGTGGAAACAGGTACTTAACTGGGAAAACGGGAAAGGTACTTAACCAACCTTGTGTATTTGCACATATAGTGCTCCACCTATATTCTTATACAAACTGGGGTTTGTATTTTTAGTCATCCTGTGCAATATTTGAATTTTCGGGCCACTCACTCATCCGGCTCTGGCAAAAGACACATAGGGATTTCTTCTCACTTTGAAAGTCACAGCGACTGACGCTGGTGTATTTCTGTGGGAGCAATACGTGTTGTTTTTCATTGTTTAAGTCACATTATACTGTGTTTTTCTGAGAGTAAGCTGCATCAACAGCACATAAGACGGCATTTGCTGTGCACACACACACAGGGAGGCAGCTCTCTAAACAGCAGAACATGACGTCAATGGGCACAAACCTCCTTCTTCATCTGGAGCCACGTATCTGAGCCACACAGGCTTTGAAAGTGTCTGTCAGCTTGAGTAGATACACGATACAGACACATATAAGAAAGCTGCCTTGTTATTTTTTTAAGTAGTTGCACTTTGTTCTTTTTAATGGAAAGATTTGTGCAACATCCATACTACTTGAAAACACATCAACTCTGCTACTGATACTGATGCTGCTCCTATCCACACTACTCCAGATTTCTAGAGCCGCTAAAACGGAGGAATTTAGAAACATTTTAGTCTGGACAAACAGAAACAGAAATGTTTAGTAACAATAACGTAGATGCTCACAACCGCTTGCTGATTGGGTAAAACAATTCAGCCGGCTTTTTCCTCTGCAGAGACAATCTATTGTTTGAGCAGTCTGTGACACAAGTCCCGTGTCCAGTGGTACGCACATGCCCAGTGTACGTGAGTGGTCATGTAATATATGTTTTATGGCGTGTTAGTATGGCTGGGGAGTAAAACCAATATGGAGCCAAAATGGTTGTCTGGACAGAGATAGTTTTAGTTTAAAATCACAGTATGGTCAATATTGCTTGTACTCACCAGGGCGCAGTATGTCTCCGGAGGGTCTCCGCAGGTGATGTTGGGAGGATCCAGAGTAACCTTCAGGTACTGGGTCATGTCTGTCGCCTCTGGCTGGCAGGCCATGTAGTCCCAGGTTAGGCCTTCGTCTGTATAAATCTGGGACTTGCACACATCGTAGTGGCCCCACGCTGCAGGGTAGTGCTGCATGGCTGCCTGGCAAACACCAGTCCACAGCGCCTGCAGCGTCAACGCAATATGGAAACGCATGACTGGTCCTCTCGCAGCTCCTTCTTGAGAAGCTGTATCTCCCGCTATAAGGTAGACGGAGAAGGGATCCCTCTTCTTCTATTTCCGCTCAGTACAGCTCACTCAGCTGGAGGGAGGAGGCATGCCAGTCTCCCTTCAGGTGGAGCGAGGGTCGGTTCAGTTGTCTTCTGAAGTTCTTTGTCGCTACGTCTCGCCCTTGGGGTTTTTTCTGGAGTGGTGGATAACTACAATGATGCTGAGGTCACCAGCCCATTGAGAAGATAAGAGGAGAGGACTAAGGGAGGGAGGACGGTGGAGGAGTAGGTGAAAGAAGAGGAGGGGAGGTGAGCAGGAGATTGTCCCCCCCTGACACGTTGATAGGAAGATGAGTGACAAGTCCCTTCAGCTCGCCTGGCCGTCAGTCATGGTCCTCGTCCTGTGTGGCGTTGCAGCTGCAGAGAAACGAGAAACAGAGGAAGGAGAGAGGGGGTGAGTGAATATTGACAGTACGGACACAGAAGCTGGCACCACGGCGAGGGTGAAATGTGCATGTGTGAGCTGGATGGGTGTTGGGACGGTGTTGGGATGAGCTACCATGTCGGTGTTTGTTGTGCATCACACCAGAGAAAATCTGGAAGCGATGCCAATCGGGGTAAATTGGATCTTGCTGCTTTCACACCAAACCCTCATCTCACTCAGCGGTGTCAGGCATACAGTGTTACAGCTTGCCCCACCTCCCTCTCTGCCCACTGATCACACCCTGCACACCTCAAACACCCCACACTGCATGTGTTGAAATGATAACGAGCATATGGAAAGAGGAAATAAATAAAGTGTGGTCATCTTTGCCCAAAATATTTAGATTTCTAGCATCAAGTGAAGTCGAAAGCTGATCGGGAAAACCTGCAGATGTGGTGCAACCCTTGTGCTCACCTAATTAATCTCCTGTTAGAGTCAAAACAATGAGCTGAACAACACTATAGACAAATCATCCTGAATTAAAGACTCAGTTGATGGGAACAGCCATGAAGAGTCTGTGAGTACATCTATACAGGCGACACCTTTAACATCACACACACTGATCTGATCCAGAGTTCATAAAAAATAATGTTGACAGCTGCTTTCATTTCATTTCCACTGAACAACTGAAAATATCAACACCGGAGTTTCAATTTCACAGAATAAAGTGGCCACTTTACTTTGCACAGCCCCACTTTGCCGTTTAACATAAATATCTTGTGACTGTTTTCAACTTTCATCTGTTTAAATGGTGGCTCTGTCCACAGCAGGAGTCACTGCACTACATCACATACAGTGATTTACTTCCCAGAACGCAAAGCATCCATTTATAACTGCCAACCGTTGTGGGCCATGGCCTCACTTCTTTTTCTTTCAAGTTTTAGTATTGAAACAGCTGCAGTATTAAACATGATAACATTTACTCCTACACCTCATTTCATGTGTATTAATCTGAAACTCAATCACTGAGTCTTCTTTCACGGGTCTTTATTGCTCTGTTCGGTTTTTTGAATGGACTTTAAGATGTATTTTAAATCAGATGGTTTCCGACCAGCATGTTCCTTGATAGTAATGTTCTTAAGATTAATACAAAGAAAACAGATGGAGAGTGTATTTGATTCACCATCTGTCTCTCATATCTGAAAAAACATCATGCAGGATTTTTCATGTAAATATTTGTGTGTAATGACAGATCGTCTGTTATCCTGGAAGGATCACACTGAAGACGATATTTTCTCTTCCCCCTCAGGTCTTTGGTACAATTTCTTCTTTTCTGATTTTTTTTCTTTACTTTACTCTCATTATTTGTGTTCTGTAGTGTAAAACCATACTGCTTTAAGTGTCTGTCCACTACAGTAAAGTCCAACACTGAAGGTTAACCTATGAATCAGCTCATCGTTATAACACGTCTCTGACCTTTAAACATGTCCTGAACAGTGAACACAGACTGTTACCATCAAACCAGAGATACAAGGTTTTGTGCGTCAGACGTAAGTAACTAGAAGCACAAGGAGAGAACCCCCCACCACTTTATCATTGTAAATACATTCATTGAGATCAGATACATCCAGATCATTATCTGGATCCATATAAACATTTTCAAGTGGCTCCTTGAGAAATTCACCAAAATGTAAAAGAAATGCATTTTCTCACAATTTAAAGGTTCAGTGTGTAGAATGTTCTGATATCTAGTGTTGAAGTTACATGTTGCAGCTGAACACCCCACTCAAAAAGTTAATGGTTTCTTTCCTGGTCCATAGTTAACCCTTCCACAAAGTTCAAATGAAATCAGTTTCTGTGTAATCCTTCTAACCAACAACAAGGAAAACTCTAGATTGGCCCTTAGATGAGAAACCTCCACCAAGACCCAACAGTCCCCTCAAGAAACCACATTTAAATTCCCTAGAGCCGGATTTCTCTTTGGATCCACATTAAATTGTACACACTGATATTTGTATCCTTGTCTTTCATCATCATCATCCTAATAGAGTACTAACAAAAATAGAAGAGGGCAGGTTTTTCGGCTTTAAGCAGCAGGCGACTAATGGAGACCAGAGTCAACGGTTGGACACAGGAGGGACAGAATGGTGGTACTTATTACCACACAGTTAGAATAGCAGCATTACATGAAATTAAAAGAAGAGTAGGGGGTGGTGTGTATTTGCATATAGCCCGTACAGCTGTATATGAAGTTTGCGTTTCAGCCTGAGGAGGATGAGCACATGCTGTGACAGACTGACGAGGTGACAGTAGAAGGAACAGCATACAGTTGTACACATACAGTTGTGTTCACATTTAACAGTCTGGCTGTGGCCTGAAGACAAAAACAACCACACACCCTCCAGATGATTGACGTCATTACAGAGAGCCAGTGATAAACAGTACAGATGTGAGGGTTTGGTGTAAATACGAAGAGACCCCGCTCACAGTTTGCTCAGTTTCACGTTGATGTATTTGAATTTGCCCGTTCAAAATGTAGCCTAAATTTGACCTATGGTTTTACCAGGCATAATAGATCATATTTTTTTTAACTGAGTTAGTTCAGTCTGATAGAACGTAAATCATAATATTAAGGAAAAGCAAAGATCTGCTAGGTTCTGGAAAAGCAGCAAATGCATATGAAAAAAAAATCATAATTTAACGCTGCTGGAAAAAAGATGATGGCAGAAAAACTTGGTATTACACGAGAAGTTGAAAAATATTCTCCAAAACCCTGCAAACTGAAGAAGAATGATTGCATACACTATTGCATATAAGTTCAGAATTTAATACCATTCATTCTAGCGCAAAAGAAAAACCCGTCACATCAATCAAAATGAGTGTTATCCACAGATACGTCTGGAAACTTGGATTACATTTTTTGCAGAGGATGATTGAGAGCGGCAATGTAAAATCAGTACAAGAAAAAAGAAATACAAGAGCGAGTATTGCGTATTGAGTCAGAGGACGGAGGAGGGAGGAGGACGAGGTGAGCGGGGGAGAGAAATGAAGCACCTTAAATGTAAAATGTAAGAATGTCAATGGGGGAGATGTCAGCAGGTGAGGAAGGAGCCAATTATCCAGAGGAACTCTTGGCACTGAGCTTCCTGTTCCCATTAAGAGACATAATATTACCGTGTTAAGGAGAAGTGTAAGGGATGGCCGCAAAAGTGTGTGTGTGTGTGTGTGTGAGCGTGCTTGACATGCAACCTCTGGATAAAGGGAGGCTGGAGTCATGGGTAATGAGACAACAAGCGCCGGCAAGGATTCCTTAACAAGCAACAGAGATCACAAAAGCGCGGGTCATTATCACCTCGCCGTCCTGGACATAGCGGCCCCCTTCCTCTCATTACTCCCTGCTCATAACCCTCCGTCGCCCCGTGGAGTCGAGGTGACGGAGAGGGGAAGGGAGAGCAGATGGAAGAAGAAGTGTAGACGTGCATTTTAAGCGAGGAGAGGAAAAAAAAGAGGGGGTTTATTTTAGGGCAGCTCGCTTCCTCCGACCATCGATCAAGGTTTGAGGACATCAGAGGGAGGCAGGAAGTCTGAAATCCTTCCATTTATGGGAATATACGCATGTACAGGCACAGAGGATAAACACTTACAGTAACTGTGGGAGGTCGCTGGATGGGGGGGGGGCCCGAGAAAAAGTGGGTAGATTCACATGTTCAGTCGCTGTGACATTTATTTATCAAATATTCTTAAAAAATGAAAAGTTAACTTATATGAAACACACAAAAAGTGGAGAAATGTAAGTTTTACTTGTGTGGATTTACTGTATATATGAAATTGTCTGCTTTCAATCATCAATCTTGTCCAGTGAGATCCACCATATATGTAATTATCAAATGATTTTAGTTTCATGTATTTCATTTATTCACTTTGTCCATTCTCATCCTTCAAAAAAGACCCAGAAGATAATACATGAAACTACTAACAGAGAACAGATAAACTCCCATTTTAATCAATTAAAAGCCATAAACTGAAACATTTTGTTGACCAGAGAACAAAAAGAAAACAATCAGCAGATGCAGACTGTACCCAGGGGTTGTGTCATATGAGAGACAAATACCTTGAGAGCTTGTTTTAGGATTAATGTAAATATCATTGTATCACAATCAAAGGAGTTAAATATTATATATTAGAGGGGACTTGTGATGTGTTTTGAACGTAGGTTTGTTTTTATTCTGATTGCCTCGTTTAATGTGTGATTCTTGTTTCATGTGACTGAGAAACATACATCTCACACTAACAACAAAGATTATTGTTGAAGCAAAAAAAAAAGTGGTGGGACAAAGAAAGTTCTTTTAAAACTTATTTCCACGTGAACATATTTTTTTTATATTTAACATGCTTGAAATAAATAAATGAATAAATTAAATAAAATGAGCCTAATGTTATTTGTTGTTGGAAACATCTCATAAGTTTAATTACTGAACACAGGATGTCTCCTGCTTCACTCTGAAGGTTTCATAAGTTGTTCCATGACTGGTTCCAACAAGTGGTGATGTCACACAGTCCTGCTGGTACATCCATACGTTAAAATCACATTCAACAACAGAAATTGTGCACGCATGTCGTTCTGCACAGCGAAGCTCAAACAACCAAGTAAAGTCACAAACTGATTTTTTAGAATCTACTGCAGGAACCATCCTTCCACTGAGGTCACCAACCCGCCCACCCGCCCAAACCCTCCCCCCTCCTCCCACCAAAAACCACCCTCCTCCCACCAAACCACCCATTACACCCAAACCTTTCGCCAGCACAGGGCCCAAGCCGGAAAAACAGCCCCTGGTGTCCACTTCCATTTCATCCCCGGGGCCACTCGAGCGTGACTGAGTGTTTCTCCAAACCATGGGGGAAATGTTACACGTGTGTCCCCGGAGCAGCTCTCTGCCACGGAGGGAGTCGCTTGTAAATCATGCATATCTTCCGACTAACGAATAAACACACG